TTTTGTCTTTTGAGAAATCTAGTCACAATCCTTAAAAAAATTGAAGAAGCATATTACGGCTTGAGATGGAGTGAATATAATTCTCAAAACCATGACTGTAAAACACCCAGATACGAGATCTTTTACACTTTTTTTTCTGCTTAAGGTGGAATAAAGCTCATTATCTGGCAATTTTGGATTCCTTGCAAAATAAAATTCATGGCAAATAAAGTTCATGGAAGATGGTGAGCAGGGAGACATTGCTTAATGATGTCCGGGCCTGAAAAGATGATTTTTCAATTCGGAAAAGATGGGAGGTGGAACTTAGCACCAAATGCTTCGATCTGGCACCCTGGAGTAGCTCGACGAGCGACAGGGGAACACTAGCTATATCTTAAGTTGTATCTATCGTATAGATTCATACGTGCCGTGCTGATAAAGCGACAGATTTGCTGGGTAGCTCAAGTGCTCTTAAAATTGCTTTGTTTCCTACTTATTAGGAGGGTTTCTGTGAAGATAATGTAATTTTTTTCCCTTTGCCTTTTGTGTCGCTTTTTTTTTTCCCTTCTTTCCCCCAGTTTAAGTGCTGCGGCGGGGAAGATTACAGAGATTGGTCGCAGAACGCGTACCACAGCTGCGCGGCGCCGGGACCGCTGGCCTGCGGCGTGCCCTACACTTGCTGCGTCACGAACAAGGTGGGTCCGAGCCCCGGCTGCTCGGCGTCGCCGCGCTCCCTTGAGAAAATCTGGGGGAAGAAGCGAGGGAAAATGGGTCCCTCCTGCAAACGGCAGCTATGGATCCGTGGGTCTTGACACCTGGAAGAGGAGAAAATGATGAGCTAGACGTACGGTCCGTGTTACTGTCCCGCGACGCCGTCCTAGGCGCGTGGAAGGGGTCTCGGGAGCTCCTCTAACCTCGTGGCTTGCCTGCAGCAGGGCTGCTTAAAATTAAGTTTGGCTGGTGTTTGCCCCGGGGCTTGCTGAGCATCGCCTCCGCGGGTGGGGGTTGAAATGGTGTGCGCCAGCGGCCGCCTGCGTCAAAAACCAAACAGAATGAGCCCATCGTCCAGAAAAAGCCAGAAACGTGGGCAAGATGACCTCGGTGCATCCTTGTGGGTGCAGGTCTGGGCTGGAGCTGCTGCTCTGCCCTGACCTGTCCTTGAAAACTGCCCACCTTGCCGCCCGGTGAGACTCTCCCTGGAAGGATGCCTCCCAGCTGGAGTCTGGACCAGTTTCTCAGTCTACATGGACTGGTATTAACTGGTGCTGGCAGTACTGGGAGCAGGCGTGAGCTTCCCTGTAAATGGACCGTGCGTTTTATATAAATCTTAGCAGTTTTAATTCATCGCTCTTCATTTGAGGGATGGATGTAATGCTGAATTTGATAAAGAACCATTCCTCAGCTTAAAACCAGTTAGTAGTTTAAAAAACCGCAACGGAAAACCAGTAAAAGACCATCCCTGCCTCACTGGGTTTTGGTCTTCAGCCTGACCACGAGGCAGAGAAATCGGGTATGTGTAAGAGCAGATGCAGCAGAGCTGGTGATGGACAGCCCGTTACGTGCTGCCCTTTCAAGGTCTGCCTTAAGCACGGGTGTTTAATTAAAAAGAAAGGGGGGGAAAAAAGCGATAATTTTATTAGTAATCCTGCTGGGTGTTGCTGAGAAATGGGTGTAGTACGAAGGTGTTTATTATGCGTGCTTACACATCTTTTGTGCGTGAGAAAGGGTCTGTTTAAAGCTGTGCTGAACTTTGATTTATTCTCAGAAACCAAAGCTAAACAGTTATGTTTTAAGTCTTAGGTGTTTGAGAATAAGAAAGTTGTGTATATGAAAATAATATCGGCTGATCCACAGCGGCACTGAGCAGAAGGGCTCAGGATTTTGCCCGCAGCCGATGGTAAAGGAAGACAGAGCTGGCTAGTAAAGACCAATCTGGCTTTTTAGTGGTCATTCAAAGTACCGCTTGTTTTTCTGTAGCCCTCATTTCTTTGCGGAACTCTTATTTTAAAAGAGTTCGTGTGTGTGGAAATACAGCAGTAGTGTGAAGGCGAATATTAAAATCATATATAAGTTTATATATATTAATATATATATAAATCCGTGACTATAATAACGCCAGGTGCCTTTTCAGCACTTTCATCAAACACATTGTGGATTTCAAATGCAACCTGTCAGGCAGGAAGGCCCTAAAACAGGAACTTCTCTGAGGAAAACAGGGATTATATTCTCCGTATGCTTCGTTGGCAGCTGGGGAGCGGGGCGTGAGACTACTTGCTGCCTATTTTTCCTATATTAGGAAAAATGTCTTTACGGGGAGAGTGGTCAAGCATCGGCACAGGCTGCCCAGGGAGGTGGTGGAGTCACCGTCACTGGAGGTGTTCAAAAAACGTGTGGACGTGGCACTTCGGGACGTGGTTTAGCGGGCACGGTGGTGTTGGGTTGGTGGCTGGACCTGATGATCTCAGAGGTCTTTTCCAACCTTAATGATTCTGTGATTCTAAAGGCAGCCTGCGAAGTGTTAAGCTGAGGGAAGTTAATCAACTTTAAGAGAAGCCCCAAAATAACAAGCAACCTTCTCGCTTAAGGGTAGGCTCTTCAGCAAGGCGCTACAGAACGTTAGGGCTTGTGGCTCTGCCGCCCCGGCACGCCGCTGATGTGCCTTGTGAAGCCCACGCGGCACGGGCGCGCATTCGGCAGGACGACACCAGCGCCGCGGCTGTAGGGCCAGCTGCCTTGGAGGGAAAAAAAAACCAAACCATGACCAGAAGTTGCATAATTCTTCTCTGTTTGACAGATGCTTCCAAATACAGGCTGGTTTCTATCCTGGAGAGCTGCAGATACGGCTTGTGATTACTCATTCACTTTGTAGTCATGGAAAACTCCTGCTAATGCTGGAGGTTGGGTTCTGATCCTCTGAAAAAGCCCTGTGCTAAGATGAGCCGGGCTCATACTGGGGGGCTCTGAAGGGACTATTTTCAAGTCAAAGTATTTATTAAATACTTACACTAGTGTAGCAGATAAAAATTAGTCCCCAAATGCCTATACACCTCTGTTTCTAATACATTTAGCTCTGCTGTGTACATTTTCTTGTGCTGTGATGTCCCGTTAGCAAATGCTGGGTTTAAAATTTAAATGTGAGACTGTTCCTTGCTGGCAAATACTCCGCGGGTGGCCGCGTGTTTACCTGTTAGGCTCAAGTGTTTTGTAAATGTGAGATCATTCACAGCGGGCGCAGCAAGTCTTGCAAACCTTGACTTCCAAGAGTTTATTACCTGCTCACAGGTTCGCAGGTGGGTGCCCCTCGCCTTTTCCCAGCAGCCCTGGACATAGTCAGAGCTTTTTCTTTCAGGAACGCGCTGAACCTCGTTTGTCTTCAAGGTGAGAGCCTGGCTTTTTGGGCTTGTAAAAGAACTTGACCCTGGCTGGTGTTTCTGCCGTTTTGTAACATCCAGCTTCCTTCCACCTTTCGCAAACATCCCTCTTCCTTCTTGGGGAGGTGACCTGGGGACCCCAGCCTACCGCTCAGAGGCCACCAGCGTTTAGAAATCTCATCTCTACAACCTTGTCTTAATTTAGTGGGAGAGTATATCAATACAGAAGAGTTTGCTCTGCCTTATTTCTCTCGTTTGCATGTTCTCATTTTCCTCCATGTCTTTGTTCCTTTGATGCCGTTGGGTTCTACGTTGGGTGACCTGCAAGTGAAGGACAGTGTTTTCACATTAGCTTTGCGGGACCAGGTAGAGCTTCAGGACGCAAGCGAAATATTAAATGGCGACAGAAGGTGCATTGGTAATCTGTGATGAATGGAACCACTCAGTCTTTTTTAAAATATATGACTTTTATATTAACGTATATTATGACATATGGAAATACATTAAATTTGCTTTTGTAAAACGCTCAGCTAAGCATTCATAGCACTGGATGTTATTTGGGTTTCAGGTATTTCTGAGCTTCAGTTTGTCATCGTGGTGGCCTGATGGCTGTATTAACCCCTGGTTTTCTTAATAAGATGCGTTAAGTTATTAAGGCCCTAAAATGAACCCCAGCTGTTCGTTCTGTGGAAACAGCTGTGGCTTACAGCTCTGTTGTCGCTAGCTTTGGCTTCTGACGCCACGCCGGTTTTGCTGGATAGATACAGTTCAAAACGTCTTGTGTCGTGACACGCTGGCAACACTGATATCTCTCAAATCACGTAGAGCCGTATCTACATCTGACCCTGGAGATGCTGGGGGGAAATCGGTGTTGGACCGGCGAGTAACCCCCCTGTTGTTGCTTTTATATGAGCTGGGTGAACACAAGAACAGTGAAAATAATTGTTTTGTGATTTTTTTTTTTCCTGCTATCATTTATATTTGTTGTTTTCTTTTCAGACAGACATTGTCAACACTATGTGTGGATACAAAACCATTGACAAAGAGGTAAGGTAACCGGCATCCATCCTGTTGTGGCAAAGGGTTGTGCTTCTCTGCCGTTTCTTCGTCAGTTATAAAACTTTCTTCTGAGTACTTAGATCTACCAGGCAGTTAAATCAGCAATTAAAACTATTTGATCTGGAATAGCTTTCGTGTATTAACAAAATTAATCTTGTTTGATTGTGGTATCTTCCCTTCCTTCTATCTTCCACAATTCCTCTTGGACGTGCACGAAGCGTTCCTTCCCAGAGCTCACCCCCCCGTACGCTAATCGCACAGTTAGTACGAAGAAAGACGCTTCAACACTTTTAAGCGGTGACTTGAGTTGGCGAAAGCTTTTAACACCTAAAAGCCAAAGTTTCTCCCTGAGTAAAATCGATTACGCTACAGCTAACGTAGCTGATTCTAAGTATTTTGTATCCCAGGAGCGGGTGTTGTATTTTTAAGACCGTAATGGTTGTTCCTGGAAGAGGTTGGAAGAGGAGCCTTCTCCTCCCTGCAGGAGCGGGATGTGGCCGCCTCCTCTGGTTTTCCCTCTTGGGAATAGCCTCAGCGGCTCCAGAGTAGAGACTGCCAGCTCAAGGCACTAATTACGGAGTGATTAAGCGGGGTAATTGGTAATTGGATCTGCTGCAAGGTCTCCACTCCTAGCATCGGAGTGCTGGCGCGGGGGCTTGGTCTAAAAAAGCCCCTCTCCCCAGCTCATTTGAGGCGCACAATGCCAGCTTCGGTTGTTGGTTTTTGGGATGACCGGTTGTCTTTACATGTGACCCGTCTTCATTTAGATGCGTTGATTTATGGCTTAATCACCTAAAGGCTCCAGCCTGGCTCTGACGCCCAGAGCACTTAAGCATATGCTTAACTTCGCCCCATTCATCCGCGCCGGGCTCTCTGCGGCCTCGAGTGCTTTCTGTATTATGGGTTGGGGTCACGGTGCAGCGCAGCTTGCGAGACTGCATCTGAAATCCTCTTGTTCCTGCCCTTTTTAAGAGCCTATTGCAAAGCGCGTGGTCCGCGATTTATATTTTGCCGCTGCTGTCCTTTCAACTTGGAAGCAGAGATGAAAGCTAAAAGAGAGAGTTCTCTGCTTTCCGAGTGGTCTAGAAGGAGAATTGGGTGCGTTTCTTTTAGAAAAGTAGTTGCAAAACAAACAAACAAACAAACCCCACCAACTTTTACAAAAATAAAATCACTTACTCAGGTGTTGGAACGACTTAAAACCAGATGGACGATTAGTGATGAGGTCTGTCTCAAATTCAGTGGGTTTAAAGAGACGGGAAGGAAGACCACGTTTACCTCCCGGGAATTTGAATTACCGTGTGTTAACCGCGTCGCGCGGCTGCCGGTTTGAACGTCTGCTCTGTTACCTTGCAGCGCTTGAGCGTTCAGCACGTTATCTATGTCCGGGGATGCACGAATGCAGTGCTTATTTGGTTTTTGGACAACTACAGCATCATGGCTGGCGTGCTGCTCGGCATATTGCTGCCCCAGGTGAGAAGGGGCCGGTGCGTTACCCGTTACCGGGAGTATCTGATTCGTCGCTACGGTACGCGGTGTCCCATTTGACTATATTTAATTACTGGTTTTTACTTAAATGTGACGTAACTGCTGAGCTGAGGTAATTTAGTAGCATTACTGTGATATACTGCGGGGCTTGGTGGGTTAATTTGGTTCGCTTGGGCTGTTTTGAGTCCTCTCCTCCCCGCAGCTGCGCCCGGTAAGACGTTCTCATGCTCCGAGGCCCAGGGGTGGGAATTGGCTGCATCAGCTCCGCACAAAAATGATCCATTTATGCCCCTCTATGCAAAGAATAACCATGTGAGATTGTATATGTACCGCATACCTGCCCGCATATCCGACGTACGTGTACGTAACTCGTAAAAACGGCCGCGAGACGCGCTGGGCAACGGCCGTGAGACGCGCTGGGCGGGCGGTACGTGATCCCTGACCGGAGATGCCCCTTCCTTTCGCAGTTCCTGGGGGTGTTGTTATCCTTGCTTTACATAACGCGGGTGGAAGACATCATCACCGAGCACAAGCTGAGCGAAAGGCTGTTTGAAGAAGCGCGGCAGAGAGCCGCCCCCGAGCTTGCTGGAGCCGGCTGCTGCATGTGTTACCCGGGGTGACCTCGGAAACCTCCGATACGGCTAAAAAAAGGCAAATCCGCCTGTTCCGGTTTGCGCTGGCTGTTATGCCGGGGGGGGGTCGGCGGCGCGCCGATACCTCCGTAGCCTCGTCGCTCTTGGCGCGTCCGCAACCGAAGACGCGCCAGAAGGGCTCGGTGCCGCCGACGATGCTGCTGCGGTATCGCGACGCTGCCGGAAGGCGGGCTTGTGAATCACCGAACCTTTACGGAATGATTGCCGAGTGATCGCGGCTGGGAAAACTCTTCTGGGAAGATTTGAAGGTAGATTTCTAGGAAGAGCCTTTGCGTCTTGGGATGTCCTATTGAAATGTTTGTCCTTTCCGACTTTATTTTCTTACTCCTTCCAAAAAAGAGTTCTTAGCGATCTACGTGGCGAACATTAAACGTGGATTTAATAATTTTTTATGCTAATCTTGGTGGATTTACTGACAATAATGGATGTGATGCTGAACACTTTCATTGCTCAGTCTTTTGTGCCTTTTAATAATGGGGCAAATGCCAGTGTCGAATCAGGCAGGTAATGCTTTATATATTTTTAATGCAATTTATTACTGTCTGGCTTTTGTATAAACATAAGGGATGTTTGACTCTTGTATGTACTGTATTTTTCCTCTTCAGTAAATCAACTAGGTGATTGGGTTTTTTTGGTTTGTTTTTTTTTTTGAGTTCCGTATGTTGAGATGTTTCTAAATCACATTATTCTTGTCAAAATAAAAACAATAAGCTGTGGTTTGTTCTGTTTTGTTGTTTTTTAAAGCATAAAGATTTTGTTTAAACTGCTTTTAATTTTCTTATCTAAGTTAAGCCTGTCCCTCAAACGCTGAACCAAAAGGTAGAAACACCTTGAGCTGTGACCCTGGCTTGGGTGCTGACTTACCTGGGGTTTTGGACAGAGCCGCTGAAGGTCCGCGCCTCGCTTGTGTCCCGTGCCGAATCGGAATCCAATACCTGGGAAGGCACTGGGGGCTGGCGGGTTTTAGCTGGTGTTGCTTTGCCCTGAGCATTTCTCTGCAGTCCTTCCAGCCCCAGCCGGGCTTGCCGGCAAAATGCAAAACCTCATTGTCCTGATGCTCCCGATAAACAAATTCAGGATGGGGATGAAGCGTGTGTGGTAGGAATGAACTGTGAAGGAGGGAATGACAAAGGTAAGTTTTCTTTCTTTACTGATCGTGTCTGGTAAATGTGGTGGTGGTTTGAAGTACAAGATACCCGGGAAAGCAGGAGATGACGGACGCGTAGCTAAAATTGGGGTGGTTTAAATGGAACAAGGAGATTCGTGGGTCGTGCTGAATTTGCACAAATTCAAATGGAGGCGGGGGAGTTACCTGACAATCACCAACTAAACACGTGTGACTGTTTAATAAATGATTGATCCCAATGACGTTGACCCTTCCCATTCCCTCGGATCTGAGGAAACGAACTCCTCGCTTCGCGGGCCCGTGGTGAGCGGAGGGAAGGGCGACGCCGATCCGGAGGAGCGGGAGGCAGCGGGTCTCCGCTCGGCTGCGTCCAGGCGCCTGAGCTGTGGGAGACGATGGGGAGACCACGGCGGGGGGCGGGG